AACTACTTTAATACAGAGTTAATGCATACTTTAATTTAAAGTTTTTCTGGTTTGTTTTATAACCACATCACTATATTCAGTTACCTGCCGTGGACTTTTAAATAACTTGTTATTGTGTAGACAAATTTCACGTCGCTACCATATATATATATAGAACTTGAGTTGTTAAATAAGTTATAAACTTAATTATTTCGGGAAAAAAAATGCTAGCTACCAAAGTGGGAAATGATAATCACAAACACTTCGTCCACATCCGTTGCAATTTAATTATGTTGTTAGCTGAGATAAATTGAATAAGTCCACTTATTATCATTATTATAATTATAAACTATATATGTTTGATTGGATTCTAACTAACTTACAATATTTGATTAAATAACTATATATTATAATTATAGACTAAAAGTACAAATTGTGTTCTACCAAACATGCTCCAAGTAAGATGTAGTGGAAAAAATTGAATTTGATAGGTGTGGTAGAGAATGGGTTGTTATGATTTTGAGCAAAATTCTCGCTACTAGAAATCTGCCAAAAACCGATCAAGAAAAGTCGATTATGGCCAATTACCGACCAAAACGTAGCTAAATACGCTTGGACGGTATTTTGATGGTCGTTTTAATATACCGATCAACGTTGGTCGGAATTTACCGACCAATGTTGGTCGGTATATTAAATTCAAAAAAAAAATATATTGCAAAAAAAAAACCGATCAAAGTTGGTCGGTATTTTAATTATGTAATCAAAAGATTCACCATTTGGGAATCGAACCGAGGTGTGTACTGTGGCAAGATACTATTCTACCACTAGACCATTGGTGCATTTTGTTTTAAGATTGTCCTTTTTATTTATTTATACTCTTTAACTGTATTTTCGCACGAAAATAACCGACCAAAGTTGGTCGGTTTTATTAAAAAATAAAATTACCGACCAAAGTTTGGTCGATTTTTTTAATATTACTTTTATTTATTTTAATTGAAAAACCGATAAAAGTTGGTCGGTTTTATTAAAAAATAAAATTACCGACCAAAGTTTGGTCGATTTTTTTAATATTACTTTTATTTATTTTAATTGAAAAACCGATAAAAGTTGGTCGGTTTCTTGAAAAATAAATTTCGCGGGACTCAAAAATAGTTTCCCGCATTTTTGCGCCAAAGAAACCGACCAAAGTTGGTCGGTTTCGTAAAAAAAAAAAAAATTCAAAAAACCGACCAAAATTGGTCGGTTTTTGCCGAATTTCTAGTAGTGTCTTGAAATGATCTTTTTTCTTTCTTGAAATGATCTTAATTTAAACTTCCTACATCATTTGGTCATTAGTTTAACAAACTAGCTATTTGCAGGTTTTTTTATGTGAACAAACTTTCTGCTTACCTAATTAACAGAAGAACTTAATTGGGTAACACTAGTTATGAGGAGGTCATTAAATCGAAATAATATTATAATTTGAATTGATTTCATATTTCTCATCGAACTGTCTTACACAAACTGATAAAAACAAACCAAAAATGTAAAAGTAAAAGGTGGGTTTTTCGATCTGTCTAAGTTTTGGTAGATAGAGTTATCTAATAGATACAATAATAACAACATACCCAGTAAAATCCCACTAATAGGGTCTGAGGAGAGTAGAGTGTACGCAGACCTTACTCCTATCCCGGAAAGGGTAGAAAGACTGTTTCCCGGAAACTCTCGGCTCGATAAGAGTTATCTGATAGATATTTCTGATAATAGAAGTTTTTCAAATAGCCATGGTGCCGCAAACTGATTCGAGCACCATCATTACAGGAAAAAAAAAACGTAAAAAAATGTACTCTATGAATTACAAATACAATTTTTTTTTTAAAAAGTACAAAATAAAAATACCGTTTACTGTGTCTTTCTATTGAGCCATTAATTATAGCACCGCACTGCCAATGAAAACCTACTACATTAATTTTTAAGGCAGTAATCATATATTTGAGAGGAATCATTAGGTTTAGTTTTTTTTTTTTTTTT